GCCATCTTCCACACCGGGGCTGCGTTCCCGGCCTTCCCGTCGGTGCGAATTTCCTCCAGCTCCACATGTTAAGCCGACGGCGGGGCCGTCTCCCGCCGGTGGGATGCGGGGTGGAGGAGCTACGGCGCCGCCGGCGGGAGCGGGAGGCAGGTGCGGGCTGGCAAGGGAGCACGGGAGGATGGGGCTGTCGCGGGGAAATGGGGTTCTGGGTCCTGGGTGCCTCTCCTTTGCCCCCAGCCGGCTCCTTTGCCCCTAGCACTGCGAAAGGCGCGGAGGGAGCAGCATCTGGTCAGCAAAAGGCTGCTGAGAGACGACACCCCAGAGGAAGCCGGAGGGGGATGTGAGGCCTTGATCCTCGGGGAGGCCGAGGTGAGGGGGCAGGGGGCGTGGTGACGCGCGGACTGGCCGGCGCCAAATTCCTTCCTCTCGTACTCAAGGTCCGTCCCCAAACCTGAACGAGGTCCCTTCAAAACCTCCAGTGGGCCAAGCCAGAAACTGGGGTATCATCCTTCACCCCATCCCAACCCTCATCCCCACATCAATACTTCAAGTCCTAGCCGTTTTTTTACCTCCTAAAGAACTCTGAAGTCTTCACGTGCCTCGCCGTCGCAACTCCCACCACCCTTCCGTGATACTTACAGCAGCCTCCTAACGGGACATCAGCATCTATGCTTGCCACCCTCAAGCTCCTCCATACATCAGTTAGATGCTTCTTTTAAAAACAGAGACCAGTGGTGGTGGCGGAATTATATTGATACCAAAGTCCTTCCTGTGACCTATAAAGTTCAGCCAGGTCTAACCTCTGCCTACTTTCAACCTTATCAGCTTACTCATCTCAGCCAAACTGACCCCTTTTCAGTTCTTGGAACAATATACCAGGCCCTTTTCTGTCTCAAGGCCTTTGGGTCCCTTTTGGTATTTTGTTTTTGACAGCCTGTTTACAGAGTATTAATCACCCTGTCTAATTTGTTGGCTCGTTTATTATTTCTCCAACTAGATTTTAAGTTTACGGGAACCTAGACCCTCTTTGTCATCACTGAAAACTCAGATGCCTGTGTAGTATTTGGCATACAGTAGATGCTCAGTATTTATTGAATAAGTGAATGAATTTTAGTTCATTTATTCATTCAGCAAGGATTGGGCATCCCCTGTGTTGTATTGTCTATGTGTACATATACAGTTAACAAAGCACACACCCCTGGGTATACCATTTATTCATTGTGTACTTTATGCCAAGAAACCGTGCATAAAGTCCCTTTCTCTGAAGTGTTCACAGCCCATGAAGGGGACATGAGGCACAAAAGAAACCCTTAAGCCTGCCACAGGAAGCCAGAAAGAGCTAACTTCCCAAAGGCAGTGACAGGAGCAGAAATCTGAAGGGAGTGGAGGACCTGGGGAGGGTATGCAAGGCAGAGAAATAGATTGTGCAAAATCTTGGCAGTCTTAAAAAGTCATGTTATGCTAGCTGCTGTTAAGAGTTCAGGTTGCATGGGAGAATGACTGGCTGAGAGGTTTAAATATTGTCTTTGAAATAGCCCTATAAGAAAGCAGGATAGACGTTATTCACATTTTTTTCAGGTGAGAAACTAATGATGTTTAGGTCCTTTGTAGAGTAAGTGGCAGGGCTGGTATTAAGCCCAGTCCTGGTTCCTACTTTCCACTCTACTGCAGTGTCGGCACTTACTAGTCATATTAGTGTGAATGATAATGGAGGGCTCACAGGTAAAGTAGGCAGGGCAGGGCTTAAGATTTGCTTTCCGGCAACTGTGTGTTGCCATCTTTTCCTGTCCTGGGCTCCAGATCCAGCAGTTCCTGTGGTTAGCCCAGCGGGGGACAGAGGAAAAGGAGAGAGAGGGAGCTCTGGTTAAACTTCGCAGAGGCTTGCAGCAGCCAGAGACACAGCAGACCTTCATCAAGTCAGTGTGGTTGGTGTGAGTGGGTGGCTGGGGTTCTGAGGAGTGTGGAGGGGAGGGGCCACAGGCTGAACAGGGCTCTGGTACTCATGTAGGCTGGAGGGCAGCATGCGGACCCTGGTCGGGCTCCTGACCAGCAACCACGCCCTGTTGCAGCTTGAGGCGGCTCGATGCCTTCATGAGCTCTCTCATTCCGAGCAGTCTGCGGTGGCCGAGGCCTGCCTGCCAGCTACTTCCTACCTTCTCACCTACCTCTCCGGTCACAGCTCAGACCTTATAGTAAGCCCTGTCACTTCCTAACTTGTTTTTGGCTTGAGTTTAGAAATTGTATCTTTGGGTCTAGTTTGAGCTGGCAGGTAGGGAGAAGAAAACCTGTTTCCCCTGATGCCCACAGCCATACATACACCCATGAGCTTCCACCCCCTTGTGCCTCGAGGACAGGGCTGCTCCATCCTTCCCATCCCCACCCCCACCCCAGCCTGACAAGGGCCAATCCCAGTGCTTTTGTTGTCCTGCTCTCAGGAGCTCTGTCTGTATACACTGGGTAACCTGATTGTGGAGAGTGAAGCTGGGAGAAGGCAGCTCCTGCCACAGGGCATTGTTCCAGCCTTGGCTAACTGCATCCAGGTCAGTGTCCACCTTCTGTCTTCCCTGGGCAACCCTCCTCTCACTTCCTTCCACATGCCCCAGCTGCTTTGCTTAGGCAGTTTCAGCCTCTGCCCTATGCTGAGGGGTTCAAAGTCTCAGGAAATCTGGCTTAGCTTCCAGAGATGGATCCCTACCCTATCTCCTTCTAGTCCCCCCATCTGACTGTGCTAGAAGCTCTTGGATACGCTGAGGGGTAGAAAAGTCTCAGGAAATCTTCTGGCTTAGCTTCCAGAGACGGATCCCTACCCTGTCTCCTTCTAGTCCCCCCATCTGACTGTGCTAGAAGCTCTTGGGTACGCCTTGTCCCAGCTCCTGCAAGCTAAAGAAGCTCCAAAGAAGATCATCCCGTAAGTAAAAGTGTGTCTCCAGATGTGCAGTGTAGCTCCTGGATACCTGATCAAGCCTGGTTCCAAAGCTTTTGCACATTTAACTTCATGTGTCTGGCTGGAAGGACTTTGGGTTATGATACTTTCCCACCTGCTATTAGGGTTTGGGAACAGTGACAGGCCATCTTGCTTTCTGTGGTTCCTACTCACAGCTCTGCTTTGCCTACAGTTCCGTCCTGGCCTCCTCTCTTCCCCAGCACATGCTGAGACTCTTGCAACCTGGCCCAAAGCTGAACTCTGGGGTCGCTGTGGAGTTTGCCTGGTGTCTTCACTACATCATCTGCAGGTAACAGGCCAGTTGGGAAAGAGCCACAGACCTACCCTGGGTTTCCCTTCATGACACACAGGTTTTTGAACTTTGGTTTCTGGAATTGCTGCGGTAGTTTTCATCCTTTCATGGTCTTCTCTCCTTGGAACCCAGGAAACCCACAGACCTAGGCTGTTTGCAAGCTTAAAGGTGGAAATGGCTGAGTAGTAACTACTTGCTTCTTGTTGCCCAGCCAGGTCAACAATGCCTTGCTCATCACCCATGGGGCTGTCTCCACTCTGGGGCTGCTACTGCTCCACTTGGCTGGGACTGTCCAGAGATCTGAGGATGCAGGACTGGAGCTGGTACGTGAAGAGGACAGGTCAAGATCTGCATAACCTTTCTTTCTACTGTGTTCCTCCTCCAGTGTGCAGGTAGCCCCTTCCTCTTTATACCTGACCCCCAACTTGTCTTTGCAGCTGGTGTGCCCTGTGCTTCGGTGTCTAAGCAACTTGCTAACAGAGGCAGCTGTGGAGGCTGGAGGAGGGCAAGTGCAGCTCAGAGATGAGCGTATTGTGGTATCTGTATTTATCCTTCTGCAGTTCTTCCTCCAGAAACAGCCCAGCCTGCTTCCTGAGGGCCTCTGGCTCCTTAACAACCTCACTGGTAAGAGCCATAATCTGCCCAGGCGTGGACCTTTAGATACTGGGAAAACTCCCTTGTGGCTTGGACTGAGGTGGGTAGGATTGAGAGGGGGCATTTTCAGGCTGCAGTTAGGGGGACTTCACCCTGACATTTTCTCTTCCAGCAAACAGTCCTAGCTTTTGTACCTCCTTGCTCTCCCTGGATCTGATCGAGCCTCTCTTGCAGTTGTTGCCAGTATCTAACGTGGTGAGCGTATTGGTAAGTATTGGAGTCATTTGAGTCCAAGGTCTAGTGGCTGAAGTGTAAACAGTGGGAGCTCAGAAGTGCCCTTAGCTTAGAGCTGGCAGGTGTTGTGGTATGGATGGCCTCAGGGTTAGACCCATGTAGGAGTGAGTCCCTAAGCTGGTTTACTAGTTACTACCTTGGGCAAATCAACTAACCACCTTAAGCTTCAGTTTCATGATTTATAATTAGGAATAGTAATACTACCTGAGGGTAGTTGTGGGGATTGTAGAACATGCTTATAAAATTGCTTGGCACAGTGCCTTGGGCATATGGTCAGCACTCTGTATTTTTTGCTGTCGTTGGCTTTCATCCTTTGTGGGGACTGTGTATATACATATCTGTCTACAGGTGCTCACAGTTCTGTGCAACATCGCAGAGAAGGGTCCTGCTTATTGCTGGCATCTGTGGCCAGGGCCCCTGCTCCCCTCCTTGCTGGACACATTGGCCTTCTCTGACACTGAAGTAGTAGGCCAGAGTTTGGAGCTGCTGCAACTGCTGTTCCTCTATCGGCCAGAGGTTGGTTTCTGGCCCTGGCTATCAATTCCCTTTGTTCTGAAGCCTCTAGTCTCACCTTGGCCCCTTTCCTTCCAGCTCTAACTATAGCCACTTCTCTGGACCTGGGTAGCCTATGTGGGCTCCAGGTAGAGCCTACATCCTCTTGTTGGGAATGTACCCTCTCCCAAGAAGAGGTGGGCTAACCCATAAGGCTCTGGGAATTGTTAGGGCAGAGACCCAGGTGTTGAGTCCTTTTCTTCCCTGCCATTAGGCTGCCCAGGCCTTCCTGCAGCAATCAGGGCTGCAGGCCCTTAAAAAGCACGAGGAGGAAGCACAGCTCCAGGATCGAGTGCATGCTCTCCAGCAGACAGCTCTTCATAGGTGACCTTGCTTCTCAGTGTCACTCCATTACCCTACACCTCTCTCCAGCTCCCCAGCTTCTGTGCCCATGGAGACCCTTAATGAAGCCTCGTGTTCCCTGATCCCACACCTAAGCCTAAACCAAGACCTTTGGACTCCAACTCTCCTTTTACTCAGCACTGTCCAGGCAGGAACAGAAGGAAGTGGGTGTGGTCCACTTACTCTGGGGCGCTGGAATCTCTCTTCCTCTTTTTGCTTTATTTTGCTTTAGTAGCTGGTGGCTTTTGATGAGACAGAATAAAGTTTTATTTTTATATTAAACTGCTTTGCCTCAGTGGTTGCACAATAAGGGGTAGAGGGTGGAATGAGGTAAAGAACATCCTGAGACAGCATCTTACAGCACAAGCTTTATAAAGAACAGGAGAACACATTTTTCCATGTTGTACTCAGTCCAGCAGAGCTCAGGCTATGGGGCTGTTGCTCTTAATCCTCAGTGAAGGCTTCAGGCTTTGCCACTTAGCACATTCTCTAGGGCTCTGGTTACCTGATCAGCACTGAAGTTGTTCAAAGAGACATTCTTCTCTTGGCCAAATGCTGGAGAGAAAAGGAGGTAACTAAGTATCCACTCTGCACTATGGGGGCTAGCAAAGTATAACAGGTCTTTGTCATCAACTTACAGTGTTGTTATGACAGGAAGGGTAGTAAAGAGATGACCAAGGTGGATTTGGTATACCTAGAATTTATCCAGTTGGTCTCAAACACATCTAGGAAGCCCAGGTCCAACTAGAAATTTGGCTGATTGTGGGTGGCCACAATGGTAAGGAAGGTGTTTCAGGGAAGTGCTAAGGGGCACAGTAGGTATTTATTAACCATATGAGCAGTGCATTGCATGGACCCAGCCTTGGCTGCGTACCCATTCTGTGGTTCCCATAGTCTATCTACTATAATGCACTATAGCTATTTGAATCAATCTCTTCTAGTCTACTGGTTTTTGGAAGAACCTGTTTCCTCTTTCAGTTTTTAGTGCATGGCATTGCTACAGATGTCCACAATTAGAACCGATCTGCCTTAGGTGTGACTTCCCCCTTTTTCCAGACATTCCTAAGACAAGGTGTTAAAAACCATGATTAAGCCAGCTGGTGTGGCTCAGAGGTTGAGCTCCCACCCATGCACCAAGAGGTTATTGATTCAGGTTGTGGGCTCAATCCTCAGTAAGGGGCATGCAAGAGGCAGCCTATCAATGTTTCTCTCTCCCTCTCCCTTTCTCTCAAGTCAGTAAAAACATATTTTTAAAAACTATGATTAAAATACCACTATTCAGTATGTATAAACATTTATTGCATGCCTACTATGTGTTAGGCAACACAGAAGTAATTTTCAGATTGTGGCAAATGGAATAGGTAATATGATAAAAAGGAGCTGGGGGCAATATTACATAGCTGGTCCGGGAATGCTGTGGGTTTTTTAAAATCCTCACCCAAGGATATTCTCCATTGCTTCTTCGGACAGAGTGGGAGGGAGGGAGGGAGGAACATGATGTGAGACACACTGATTGGTTGCCTCAAGCACGTGACCCAACCGAGGTAACGGCCCCTTGACCATAATCGAAACTGGGGCCCTTCAGTCCACTGGGAGGCGCTCTAAGCATTGAGCCAAACCGGCTAGGGCGGGAATGCCTTTTTGAAGGGTATTTTTAAATTCAGAGCTGAAAATAACCTGAATAATGAGCCAGCCGTGGATGTCCGGCAGAAGTGCATTCTAAGAAGGGGAACATACACAAAGGCTCAACCCTGTTATATCCAGCTACATAACTCCCTCATATAATGAATGTTAAATGAGACTTAGGTACGAAAACACCCAGCACAGAGCCTAGCATTAAGTGTTCAACACAGAACCATTATTTTAAGTTTTCATTATTGAGATTCTAACACACTACCTGGACTAGCACTGCCTACACATAATTTGGAAGGACCTATATTGAGTAGAACTGACTAGCACCTCTTCTCCCCTGTCTGAAACCTCTTCTGAATTACAAAAATGACAGCTCTTGATCCCTATGAAGCACTTGGCCCAACTCCACACGGCTGATACCCAGGACACAAAGCATCCTATAACCCAACCCTTCGAACATAAATTTCCTTACTCGCAACAAGGTCAAAAGCAAGGCCACAGTCTGAGTTCCAGTCTCCACCAGTTTTTGCTTGACCTTGGGCGGCGGTTTCTCTTTTCAGACCCTTGTTTCCCCACCAGTGTCCCAGACTCCCAGCGTCCCGCACTCACAGTAGCGGGCCCAGAGCTTGGGCTGCACGTCGGAGCACTCTCGGATTAGGATGGGCAGGTCCGGGTTCGCTTTCTTCAACTCCACATAGCGTTTCTCGATGAAGTCCCTGCGGGCCCGAGAAAGCGCCGCGCGTACTGTGTGGGCGCGGACCTTCCCAAACGCCCGGGAGGTCGAGGTCATGACCCCGGCGCCCCGAAGCCCGCCCGCCTGCCTGCCTCACCACGCTGCGCCTCACCTGACGCCCTGGCTGCCAGGCGAGCGCTGGCATAAGTGGATGCGAATCTCGCGCAGAGCCAGCTTGGCCCGTATTCCACGACTCGCCGCAGCCGCCGCCATCCCCGCTAGTACACAACCCCAGGCCAAGGCCTTCCGGCCAAGCTCTCCAGACCGACCAATCACGGACCTCCCAGTCCCCGCGATAGCTTGGCTGTCGCAAGGGGGCGGGGTCAAGCTTAGCAAATGCTAAGAAATACTCCGTAGGGCACCAGCTGTGTCTCTTCCAGTTTCCGGGCGGAAGACTGCGGAACGCAAGGCACTGTGGGTTGTTTCTGGAGGTGCATTGTGGGGAAAAGGCTATAGCTACTTTGTTGTTGTTGGAGCCGCGGGCCTTGGTGGCGTTAAGACACCGCGGGCAATATGCCGGAGCGGGATAGTAAGTTTCGGGTCGTCTGCCCTTTCTTCTTTGAGGGACTCGGGACTTTTGGAGCGTTATTTTGGCCTTAAATCGTGCGCGTGAGTGTGAGGGTCGAGGCGGGCCGGAGTGACGCTTAGAGCCTGGCGAAGCCTTTGGGCCCCAAGTGACGCCGGGCAGTCCCAGACTGTAATTCTCGTCTTTGCCCCGAATGACGACAGATGGGGTTGATCTGTGAACTTTACTCCCCTTCCCCCCGCCCCGTACCACTTAATCTTGGGTTGCGCTAATTTATCCTTCACGTGGTATCTTAGGTGTCATCCTGAGGAAGCCTTTGCTGATCCAGCGCTGGTTTAGGGTGGTCCCCTCCTCTCGGCTCCCACAACTGTTTTTTTCCACTTCAGTGTTTGCTACATTGGATCGTCACTGTCGCTGTTTTTGCCTTTCTTCCTCACTAGATTGTGAGCAGTTTGACAGGAAGGCACATTTGCCTTGTTCACTGTTAAATCCCCAACTTTTACACAGGACCTGACACAGAAGAGATTGATTAAATTTATACTAATTGTTTTTCTTAGGTGAGCCGTTCTCCAACCCTTTGGCCCCAGATGGCCACGATGTGGATGATCCTCACTCCTTCCACCAGTGAGTGTTTTGATCTAGGACCATGGGAATAAGCTGGGTAATGAGTAGGGTGGTGGTGGTGGTGATGATAAAGGAATTCTGAATGTCTTGTCAGCAAGGATGGTCAAAAAATTGTACCACTTACCCCTTTAACTGGATCAGGTCAACTTCATAAGAGTATTAGATGGGAAATTCTGGCAGCGAGGGTGCTAGTTTTTAAAGCTGATGTTTAAATTACACATTACATAGGAATTTTTATAGAAAATTAAACCATCAGAAATAAGTGTAAAATTTTCTTTGATAAAATCCCCAGTTCCAGTCCCTTTTTTAGAGGTAACCACCGTGTTTGTTTTTTATGTGTATCTTTTTTAAAATATATCTTTATTGACTTCAGAGAGAGGAAGGGCGAGGGAGAGATAGAAACATCAATGATGAATGATTAAAGTCACTGATTGGCTGCCTCCTGCATGCCCCCTGCTGGGGATCCTGCCTGCAGCCCTGGCATGTGCCCTGACATGGAATCAAACCTCAGTCTCCTGGATCGTAGGTCAATGGTCAATTGCTGAGCCACACTGGCTGGGCATATGTGTATTTCCCCCCCCCCTACTTTTTTTAAAGAACATTTATATACATATATGTATATCTGAGGAAAATATGTCATTGCTTTGTGAGTTAAAATATTTAAGTTAAATGGTATTATATAGTGTAACACCATTCTACTTGCTTTTTTCCATTGCTAAAACTGGGCTCAGCAGTCTAAGAAAGAGCCCTAGTTGGAAGAGGGCTCAAAAGGTACCTGACTAAAATTTGTCACTGTACCAATTAAAATGATCTCTTGTACCATCAGTGCTATCTTTCCTACATTTGGGAAACAGTGTCACCATTTAGTTAGTTTCTAGTTAATGGCCATTTAGGTTGTTTGCAAGTTTTTTGTTTTTATTATTTTTTTAATCCTCACCCGAGGATATTTTTTCCATTGATTTTTAGAGACAGTGGAAGGGAGGGA